GAAGATTTGAGATGATTTGAGGAGGAGGAGAAAAATAGAAAAGAGAAGACTCTGAACAATGAAAGTGGAATATGGATATGGAGATATGCAGGCGTTTGTATATACGCCACGTAGCGACGTGAAAATCACGTCGCAACCTTGTCACGTGATTTTCACGTCGCAACACACATAACTGTCATAAAATATTCGTTCTCTCTACAATACACTATAAGTTGTCAAGTCAAAACCAAATAAATTCCCCCCTTAAAAGTTGTGACGTGAAAAACACGTCACAACTTAATTTTTAAAATTTTTTAAAACTCCCTCCATCTGAACGTTACAAACTTTTGTTTTGCTTTTATTTTAACTTTTATCTAGCGACGTGAGTCCCACGTCGCAACATATTTCATTTATAAAAAAAAGAATCTCTACACCTGAACGTTATTTTGATTTTTTTAATATATAATATATAGTGACGTGATTATCACGTCGCAACAGCCTTTTTTTAGCCACGTGAATAATCACGTCACAACTTTATGTCGCTGGGGAACACATTTCTTGTAGTGAAAGTGGGTTGTTTTATAGGCTACAAGTTGATCATTCACTGGCAAACAAAACAACTTGAAGGAAGAAAACAAGATAAAGAAATGCTGACGGTAGTTATTTGTTGCAATGAAGATGACTCTGAAAAAATCCCTCTATGGATTATTGGGAAATATGCAAAGCCTCATTGCTTCAAGAATGTCAACATGATGAATAGTTTGGATTGTCAGTATCGAGCTAACAAAAAAAGCATGGATGACTAGTGTGTTTTTTGATAAATATGTTCGTTCATTTTACCAAATGATGCGTGGTAGAAGAGTTCTACTTGTGGTGGATAATTGTCCAACACATCCAAGAAATATTGAATGGCTAAGAAACGTTGAGTTGTTCTTCTTGCCACCCAACATGGCATCAAAGATTCAACCTTGCGATACTGGAATAATAAGAGCTTTCAAGATGCATTACCGTAGAAGGTTTTACCGCAAAATATTATAAGGTTATGAGGTGGGACAATCTAATTCAGGGAAGATAAATGTCATTGATGCTATCAATTTTGCAATCCTAGCTTGGACGATAGACGTTCGAAAAGAAACAATAGTGAATTGCTTTCGACACTGTAAAATTCGATCAGCTAGTGACGTTGCAAGAAATTTGGATGAATTCACTTTTGATGAAGAAACTCAAGACCTCGAGACTATGATCAATCAATGTGGCTATCGTAATAAGATGGATATCAACAATCTAATGAACTACCCAGGTAAAAATGAAGCATGTTCGGAGGTTCAGAGTTTAGAAGATATTGTGAGTACTATCATTGAGAATAATCCAGAGGATGACGACGAAGATGATACGATGTCTTTGGAGCCTGTTACGCGAAAGGAAGCACTTATGGCATCGAACACTCTTCACAATTTTATGATACAATACAAAAATAAAACACTTGATCTATTGGATGCAATAAGAAAAATTAGAGATGAGCTCCAAATAGACTTGAACTTTAAAGGAAAACAGACAACTATTGAATCATATTTCAATAGAGTATAATTTTTTTTCTTCAGTTTCTATGAATTATTAATTTATAATTTTTTTGGGACCGAAAATTATAAAGAGATCTCTCGAAAAATTATTATCTTATTATTTTATCGAGTTTTTTAATTTTTTATATTGACTCAAATCAGGACCGTACAAATTTATTATTTTAGAGAATTTATTAATTTAAAGAGTTTTTACTGTAATTCTGTTCCATCTCAATCATTTATTTTATTCTAATATAAAAAATTATTAATACTAATTAATATATAAATATCTAAGATTGGGATTTGGAAGCAGGAGGAAAAACATGAGAGAAGAAAAGAAGAGGATATGTTTCCTTTAAATTGACATTTAAAAAATATAAAGTTAAGATTTAAAAAAGAATTGTGATTTGTTAATTCATAAATGAAATTGTTTGATATGATTCTTGACTAATCATATACGTCATTTTAATTCATACAGAAATTGCGATTTAATATCATTAGGAAGACAACCACATCACTAATGTTACGGCCTCAATTACGATTTAGGTCTGCAATTTTAATTTTAAACTACGAGTAAAACTATATGCTGTGGATGGAGGAGCTATTTGTCATTGGATAACTTTTTCTTTGAAAAAAATCATATCGCTCGACTCAAGGAAAATAGTTTAATAAGTTTTTTTTCTTCAAAAATTGATCATAGTGTGCACAGGTAAAATGAAAGCATCTATCTAGTTGAACATAAACAACTTTTTAAATCGTAAAATAATTATAGTCATATGCAAATTTTCAATTTTCAAGTAAAATAAATCTCAACAAATACCATAAGGACGGGTCTTTGATTCACAACATAAATCAAATTATAAAGCTGATATAAACTCAACTTTAACCAATAAGTTCAAAACTTAAATTTTTATAAGTCATCCCCGTTTTATATCTTCTATGAATATTCTGTATTCAAATCATCTATCATAAAAATGTTGTTGGTGATTCATTATCCTATTGCAATACTACAATTGATCTGTCTCATAGTATAGGTCTCGAGTATGTGAGTCAAGAATGCCATTTGATTCTAAAATCTCTGCACTTACGGTTTTTGTTTTGTTTGAGGATCAAACATGGATGTTTTAACTTCACAAAGAAATAAAAAAATAAAGAGAGTTTGATAATAGTTGATTTTGAACAGTGGTTATAATATCTTTTGTCGCGGCGCGGATGAACTTGCATGGTTAACATTCTATCGCACAAGTCAGTTTAAGATTTAAGATGAGTATAGTGAAATTAAAGATAGAAAATTATTTACCTTATTTTTTGCATGTGATCTGTTTTAATATTTTGGGTCGAGTATAGTGGATTTGAGATGAATTAGCCTTTGGTCATTTAAGCTTTTGGCTGGTCCAGAACAATTACCCTCAAGACTTTTCCGAACACCGAAGTAGTCAGGTGAATTCTTAAGTATCATTAACCGGTCTCCATGTCCTAATCCGAGGAGATATATAACTCAATCACTTGGGATCAATTTATGAAGAGGTAATGGAGAACAAGTGCATTTAATGCAGTCTTATCAATGAAACACTTAGTTACCCATTCCTGACACGTGCAATGACATTACCAGCTATGGTATGACACATTTTAGAGAGTACGTGAGTACACTCTAGTTGGTGTGTATCCATAGATGAAAATTGAGGTGTTGATCTTGTGATCTCTATTCATAATTGGTCTTGATCTTTTAAGTGTTGTTGCTTGTAAATTGAATGAATTGAATATTTGAAAGTTTTTGCAACCTTTTAGATTTCAAGCTTTCAATTACTTCTTAGAGAAACGTCTTCCTTCCTTCATCCTTGATGATATGAATAGAATTGATTCATAGTTTCTCTTAAAACTTTCGCCTTTTTCATTCCTTTTGTTTCGTCGATCTTTAGCAATCAGGCACCTTCCAACTCAAGTTTTATCTTCAACATTTCATATTTTTCGATCAGGATGAGCGATAATAATATTGATTTAGTGAGCGCTTACGAAGTGGAAACTTCATCTAGGTCGTCCCATGATTCTCCTCATCCTTACCTTAATGGTGATCACGTAGGATTAGAAAGTATATTCATAATTGACGATTTGGGCCAGATGACATGTATGAGACTTCATTAGAGGAAGAAACTTTTTCTTCTAGGTCGTTAGACGCTCTTATATCGAATGTTTTTGGAGGAATAGGTCACGCTGAAATCCCAATGCACCAATCGTGTATTATATGAAGAGTAAATACAAGCCAATTTGTAAAGGAAGAAACGTGTTAGAGATTTTATTCAAGGTTGTGAGCCTAGCGACACTGAGGTTCTTCGTAACCGGCCAGATACATTAAGGTATAACTAGGTGGATTCAAAAGTAACAAGCATTTCTCTGACTCTGAGCACTGATGCCACTCTAAGCAATATGACATTGTAGTCGGCGACTCTTTTGAGTGGTTGGTCCTTCTGGTGCCCGAGGAAAAGAGGATGTGCAACTTTTTTGATGACTGCATGGTCCCATATTATGAGTATTTGTTTTCCATAATAGGTCTTCAGTTTCCCTTTTCTGAGATATAGTGGTCCTTATACATTTGAAGATTTCCCTTTCCCAGCTCCATTCAGAGTCACGGGCATCGATGAGGGTCATCCGAGGCGTACTTCCCCTGACAAATTCTGCAATTAGGGGCTCATTCACCTTTAGTCGGTTGTTTATTGGCTTGACCCCTTCATTTTGGATTGGGGAAATTTTTTGGGACATTTTATATTGGTGAAGCCCCTCTCCATACATCTCACTCTATTTTATGTTATATCCCTGACGATTCTCCTTGCTATTGTCACTTTTCATACCCAAAGTACTAGTATAAAATCCACTCCGACTAGGATGTTGGCTCCTATTGCATCCAGTCGGGCTCTCTTTCTTCAAACAAGGGGACAATGAAAGAGTAAATCTAATATTGGTTTCAGGGACTTGGTTATGAGGAAGGGTTCGATCCTGGTGAGGTGCCCCCTATCGAGGAGAGAAGGATGCAAATTGATACTCATGTTATCTTGAGTGCAATTAATTTTGAGGAGAAGAGGGAAATATTTGGTGATAGCAGAGTCTTCATGCTTTTCTTACATGTGTGATTGCATTTTGCACATAACATGGATAAAATAATCAAGTTGAACATGTTCTACAACCTCGATGATGCTATTGAGGTGTGGTGAATAATATAACTTCTTCTTTTACCCTCATTCTTGCTCTGATTCATTCTCCTACCTCGATAGTATAAGCTTTGGCTCTTGTGCTCTAGGTGGATCAACTTGCAAATGTTGCAACCATTTTAACAGTGGAGGAACCAACTTCGCATCTGGTTTCGACCAAAAGGGCTCGGGACGAGGAACAACAATCTCCTCGTGGTTATGCTTCTCGAAAACAGACTTGTGTTGATGAAGGCGATGCTTCAGGGCAGGTGACTCCCTTCATAAAGATACTGAATATTTTCTCTTCCTGACTTCCATGCACTCGTGGGAAGGTTGTTGCTATTGTCTTGACGTCAAACTTATCCTTCATCCATAATCTTCTCGAGGGGGATAAGATGGAAATAGCTTATGATCTTGGTTACAACATGTTTAAAGTTGCTTCTAATTTTTCTCTCGTCTCTATTAGACGGGGTGAGGTATTGTCTTTTGACAGTCCCTTCAAGGAAAGAGATACTTGGAAAGAGAAGGCTGAAGCTATGGAGCTGAAGTGCAACAACCTTCTATGTGAGCTTATTACTTTACAGAAAGAGGTTGAAGATGCAAACTCTTTGCAAGAGACAATGAAAGTACATTGATCTTCTTTTATCCTGAAGTTTCGTGTGACTGAACTGGAGGGCTCTCTCCGAGATGCAGAATAGCGATACAAGGTCGCTTCTAATTTCGTTGAGGAAAAGGCTCGCCAGATGGAGAAGTATAAAAAAGAAGCAGATGCTTTAAAAGCTCTTTGGGATGAGGTGGCTAGAAGCAGGCTATGTAGGACGTGCTCAGAGTTCAAGAATGAGACGTGGAGCAAGCGAGGAAGTTCTGCCCTGATGTTATGATTTATGTTGAAGTATTGGATCATTTTAAGTCTATTCTTGGGGTGACTCAAGGATATAATCTCGGTGCCTCATCTTCAAATGAATTTGCTTGAATTTCCTTTTGTTTGTATTATTTATTTCTTGTAATGCTTCCCATGCCTTTGTGCCTCGGGTATAATAACTTTTTATATATAATGAATTATTTTAGCTTGATGCTTCAAGTATTATTAGCTTTAAAGCTTTGTGTTGGCCTTTGCTCTATCATTGTAATTGTTCACGAATTGTCATAACTTTGGGCCTCCTGTTTTGCTTTGTGAAGATTTTATTTGCTTTTAGAGTTTAAATTGGACAGTCGGTGTTCATCGACTACGGCAAGATATTTGTTTTGGCGTGAGAGCTCTAACTGCCTTCCTTATGAAGAAAATAATGCATTTGATTGTCACAAAGTGGCAACTATACCCCTGGAAATTTCATGTTTTTTGCAATTTGGCGCATTGAATAATGTTAGCTACCATATTTGGTTATTGTATTTTCTCAATGTCTTTAGCATTTGCCATAGTAGTGTATTGATTTGTATGTAATGTTTGGCGAATTACTTTGAGTTTCCCTGGACGAGGATTGATATTGACGAGGTTAACACCATGTACTCGTACTTTGTATAGTGTTTCATGTCACATAGGACCGTTTACCGGCCTAAGGTAGGATCCTTGTCCCTACCCCCTAGGCTTGGCTCAGATTAAGGTGAAAGTCTCCAAGCTCCACCACCTATGCCCTGTGATTAGCTAGATCTGAGGGGGTGTGCCAGCTACACAAAAGTGCATTTAATAAGCATCTGATGCGACATGTGCATTTGAGCCGTATCAGAATCACAAAATTGTGTTAAGTCTGTATTGTATACACAATGGGGCATATAATGTGTTGAAGTCGTATAAGAATCGCATCAAAGTGTTAAGTTTGTATAATATACACAATCATGCAGACCGTGCATTTTAAGTCATATCAAAATCGCATAGATGGGTAAAGTATGTAATCCGATACACAATAGGCTCAAAATATATTTATGTCGTATCAGAATCGCAGACGTGCGTTAATTAAATATATATATATATATATATATATATATATATATATATATATATATATATATATATATATATATATATATATATATATATATATATATATATATATATATATATATATATTCATGTTAATAATGAATTGAATTTGCTACAAATAAAAAAAGAACCGCCGTGGTGGATAACCCTCGACGATGACCTCGGAGTGGTCGGACGGTGTCCGAGGTCTTCGGTCATTGCTCTTTATTGAAGCTCCAGGATGAATGTGCTTTATGCTTTGAAGCGTCTTTGTTGTTTGGGATACGTATAAGGTGTTGTGCCTTGCATTTTCCTACTAAGACATGTTTGGGAGGTTGCTGCTTCAGGGAGTGTAATTTAAGGTCGATCGTTGATTTTGGGCTCGTCGAGTCGCTACGTTTGATGCGTTGGTGAGGCACTTTTCGATCACCGAGATTAAGATTCCCCATCTCCCTTCTTTTTTTGGAGTGGATATCTACCTAAAGTATATTTGGGGTATCCCTAACCCTAAACGATTATCGAGTAATGGTCGAGTCCCATGAAGCACCCCCGAGCTAGATTGAGGCCTGGTGTTAACTATGAGCTTTCAGTTTCTGGGCGCTATTAACTATGAACATGCGGTATTCTTCAAATTTTTCCTATTTAATCACACCAACAACGGCGGGATGTGCAGGAGAAACCGAGTTAAGCGGTTGATTGCGAGGCTTCAGCCCGACCTTCATGGAAATTGCCTTTGGACCCCAGAACAACCCTAGATTTGGGTATGAGATTCTTCATTTTTCTACTTTGCGGAGCTCTCGAGGAAACCCAATATGTTAATGGATAAAAATCGAAGCAAAAATGATGGTTAATTGAGTCGACTATTACAAATTTTTATTTTGTTTCTCTCGATTTTGAGAAAAGTATGACAGATTTTGAAAGGTTATGACAGAAATAAAAAGTAGGGTTTTTCATGTTCTCTGATAATGAAAAATGATAGAGAAGCTCTCCATTTATAAGCAAATACATGGTGTAAATTTGAAAACAAACCATGAGACAAATTAATATCCTAATCGATTAGGCAGTGTAAATAATCAATTATTGTGGCCTAAAATATAAGGTTTAGATATAGAGTCGTGACCAATCTTTAAGAGATTGTCACAGACGATTATAAATTCAATTATCCATCATCAATTGATTAGGCCTAAGAACTAATCGATTAGATAGTTGCAAAAAGTCTCATAATAAATTAAATAATTTCCTAATCAACTGGCCAGGCAAGCAAAACATTTTTTGGTTAACTTAATTAAAAATGAGAGGTATCTTTATGTTTTTTGTGTGCGTGATTCACCCATAGTAGTTCCATAAATACCCTTGCATCATTATAAGACATTGATCACTCAAACAGACACGATTAGGTGATCTTTCACGCTCTCTCTCTCTCTCTCTTTCACACTCTAAAACTTTAAGTCTTAGTATCATTATCTTTGATTTTATCATAAAATAAGAACCTTAAGTCTTTTCGATGAGACTTGAAGTTCTCACTTGCGAATCATTGGACTAAAATGTTGTCATCATCAAAACTAAGCAGCTACTGATTAACTTGCATCATTGCTACTCATAGAATTTACCATTTTGTATCACTTCAACCCCTCTAAGCTTCTATATAGGTTGTGTGAGAATTTTGACCCTAAGTATCATCCCCTTAAAGCTCATATGTTTGCTTGAGTGAAAACTTCAACCCTCACCACCATCCATTTGGAATTCCCCTAAAAGACCGCGTGCTTGGACGGGCGATGACTCTAACCCTTAATTTATCACATATGTTCACTTATGAGCTTTCCACCGAGTCACTAAGGTAGTGACTATACTTCAACCTTGATATATGAATTTCTCCTCAGGAGTAGGAATGAAAACATTAAATTTTTTGTCAATGACTTGTCATTAAAAATGTTTGGATGTCAATAACACTATAGACATGATGACTTATTGACAAATGTACCAATAATGTCGAATTAATAATAAAAGACTCATCTCCACGAGGATTGGGTTTTAACAATAAAATTAATTGTGAAATTTAGTAATTAAGGGGGAGGGGAGTTTGTTTGAAAAATGGTTCTAAACGAGAATCAGAAAGAAAAAAAAAGTAATTCAAGATTGTGAAAACAATTAAGACTATTTATCGAATCCCCTTATTTTTACTTGTTGATGAAATGTGTACCTGTTGAGTTTCAATTATATTATCATCTCACTACGAATTTACATAACCACTACACCTAATTCCTTAGTGTGTAGCTCACTAATTTATACGGTAATTTCCTAATTCCTAAGGCTAATTCGAAGACAAATTAGGCGCTGTCAGTATGTTAATTCATAAGCAACAACTTCTAAATTCCTATTTATAGTTCATTAAAAGTTGAATAAATTTCATAGTTCAGGTAATTAGACTAACAGTAAAAAAACCCTAATTATCTAGATCAATTCAGACCCCCGCAAGCGGAAAAAAAACATTAAACACAAGAACAATTTAATTAAGATAATAACATCAAAGGTTCTCAATAAATCTCAAACATACATATGATCCAACATAATAAAAATGAGATTCATCTCAAAAAGCTATAATCTAGAGAAACTTAGACATTCATTGAAAAATTAACAAATACCATGAGTGAAAAAGTGTTCAACAACAAAATCTATGGAACAATTATGCTCCATTGAGCTCTAAAATTGCTCCTTGAATGACCCTAATTGTCACTTTATATCTCTCATCCATAACCCCTTATAAAAGTGTCCAAAATTGCCTTTAAATAGTGATCTTACCGGTTGATCAGAACCTATAAGGTGGTCGGATGATGATCTTCGGTCGGGTTGTGATGTTGAGGAGGAAAAAAAGGGGTTGTACCTGCAAGGTACTTCGATGATCAAGTAAGTGTGGGATCAAAGAGATACAATAAAAGTATTAGGTTATTAGTGGTGAATAGTGGATATTCGATACATGGCCCTCACATGTGTGAGGGTTTATATAATTCCCCTGGAGCATGGCCATTGGTTCCTATTTTTGGGCCTGGATATGCGGGTCCACAAAATCAGATAACTGTCAAGACTTGGTCATACCGAGCAGGTGCGTCAGTAACTAGATATTATATTCAAGGAGGGGGTAGGTTACAAACAATAATCTGGTCGGTTCCTGGTTGTCCGTACGACTCGAGGTCGGACAGACTGAGAGGTGCTCGTCGACCATCTTGGGTCATCGCCAGCTTATGAGGCCAAAGGGTAGATGTTGCCCGACGGATAACGGGGGAGACTCAGGCCATGGGCGTATGGGTCATTCCGAAAAAAGGGGTCAGACTGAGCCCACTCTAGCTGTCAGGCCAATCCAAAATAGTAGCCCCCCAAGTCGTTGCTTCTGGGCATATGAGTGATGACTTTAACACCTGCTCTTGGGATGGGACGCGTCTTACGGAGGGCCTGAGCATCACCCGTTGCTACTTTCTCGCGGGGAGATTAGGTGTTGGTCGTTTGGAGCTTTGAACTTGAAGAGGTAGCGTGTTTCGAGTATCGTGCTGACGAGGCGGCGCATTGATGGCCTAGGGGGTATGGTGCAATGATGACGACCCTAGGGTTTCCTATGTGTGTGTCTCCCATGCGCAGATGATATCAGCTATAAATACAAGATAACCACAACATTTTGTATTTTTC